CTGGACAAAGGCCGCCCACCCTCGCTGCCAGGAGCGGGACACCTGAGAGTGGAGGGCAAGGAGCCGCAGAGAGACGAAAGTACCGCGGGAAGCCCCTGCCCGCCCGGGGGTCAGACGCTCAGCAGCCACCACAGCTGAAACTTCTAACAAAAACCCCAAGCTTGAGAGCCCAAATGTCAAAATGGAGCTTTTTCCTTCAAAAAAGCAGAACTGGCTAAAGGCAGCGGCGCACAGGCTCGACGGTGGTTCTTGGACACCAAGTCACATAAAAACACACATGAATGAAAACATCGCACGGGTGCCCGAAGGCCGTGCAAAGGGCCTGGGGCAGCTTCGCCACCGGGGCTCGCTGGCAGCCATGAGTGGCAGTCCCTGAGCACAGCGGAGGCCGCGTCCACTTGGACTGACAGGCTGGCCCCACAGGGGTGTCCCCTGCCTCCTGGCCCATGTCCCCGGGCTGCTGTGCTGGTGGGCTGGGAAGCCAGGCAGACACCGCTCCTCCTCCGGGCAGATGGCACGGCAGGGGCTTGAGCCGGAAGTCCGGCTGGCTCTGGGCCTGGGCCAGGATGGTGGCCGAGACTGCAGCCCAGCAGCCAGGGAGAGGGCATCGGCTTCCTGGCGGGCTCCCGTGTCCCGCCCGACCCTGCCACTCGGCTGATTCCTGACAGGCAGGCTTGGCAGCGGGCCCCACCCACGAGCGAGAAGGAACCGTGCATCTGGGTCACGGCCAGGGTGTGAGCGCCCAGCCCTACCCCGGCCCTCGGCCCCACCTCCCCGAGGCTGAGCAGAGCGCCTTACCATTTATTTACAAACTCCTGGAAGTCCGGAGTGAACACGCCATTGGGCAGCTTGGGCGGGGGCTGTAGAGAACAGACGGCGGGGTCAGCCTGTGCATTCTCGGGGCCCTTTGGCAGCCAACCTGTCGCCCTCCCAGCAGGCCTGGGCACCTCAACACCCGCCTAGGCTGTGCCCCGGAGAGCAGGCTTCCGCAGAGAGGCTCCCTGTGGGGGTCACAGTTGGCTGCTTGGCCCTGTCCCCAAGTAGCAGGCACTACGGGAGCATGCCATCATGCCTGGCTCATTTTTATCTTTTGAGCTGGGGTCTCACTCTGCTGTCCAGGCTGGAGTGCAGTGGCACGATCACCACTCACTAGTCTTGACCACCAAGGCTCAGGTGATCCTCCTGCCTCAGCCTCCAAAGTAGCTGGACTACAGGTACGCGCCACCACGCCCAGCTCATTTTTAAAATTTTTTTGTAGAGATAAGGTCTTCTCATGCTCCCCGGGCTGGTCTGGAATTCCTGGCCTCAAGCAATCCTCCCGCCTTGGCCTCCCAAAGGGCTGGGATTGGGGGTGTGCGCCACCACACCCGGCCCCTCTTGAGTCTGGAGGTCTGCACCACCTGCCTCTCCAGAGTGGCACTGGCA